GAGCGGAAAAAAGTCTCTTCGAAGTTAAACGAAAACTACTTGGATATTCCATCTGTTTCTACGACGGAAAAAATCTCAAAATTAAAAAGACGGATGCAATAAACTCGAGGCCATTAAAAATAGGAAACTTAGGTGCGAATTCACAGCTCTGGTATAGAAAATAATACCTATCTTAATTGCAGCAGAGCAGCTTAGGAAATAAAAACGGAAAAGCAATTAAAAGTTCCTGCTTATCTATGCAAGGTTGGTGTGGAAACTATCGTATGAAAAGAAATTAAAGTTACGAGTATAAACTCATCTGCTACCTACCATGAAAACCAATGTTTCCAGAAAGACCATTAACACTTGTATTTATCTAAAAAAAACCATGTAGTGCCGACAAGCAGGTGCATATGATGAAAGCGAGTAACAACAGAAATCTATTCAAAAGCTACAGTGGTTTTTATGCATTTTTTGATTTATTAAAATGAAAGGACTTGAAATGGTTAAATGTGAAAGTTTACAAATAAATATGTTCCGAATAACACACACGGGAAAATCAGTAAATTTTCCCGTAACATTCCATATCAAACTCAGTATACTGTCATTGTTTCGTATCAGGATGTACCGGAATTACTGGCTGCTAGAAACGATCAGAATGTTTGCACAGAAGGAGTATTAAGTAATGAGGAAGTTGTTGTTTCTGACAATTCAGAATCCTTCTCTTTAAGTCCAAAGATGTGCGATGTTGGAATTCAGTGCTCTCATCAACCTCTACCCTCAAAAGTACGGCAATTCAAACAGAGTTTGAAGATGCGGCCATGTCTACTAGAGTTAGCACTAAGTCTCCCCCTCCGACCTAGGCAAATTACAATCACCAGGCAAATGCAACCATTGATTGATTGAACCAAAAAGGTTTTCCTACCGACAGATGAAAGTACATCATTAAAGGGCATGTAAACCCAAAAAACATTTATTTTCTTTTCACATAGATGTTTAGTAAATATATCAAGTACACCAAAGGTACCATTCGTTTATTCTCAAAAGTCCATTTTCACTTTGAAAAAGCTCTTCCAAATTCGAAACATTCGCCATCTTGAATGGCGCTATCTTTCCTGTGACGTCACGGGTGGACCCTCCAAAGTGTCGTTTTATAATCGCGTGAGGCACGAAGGAGTCTTTTCTACAGCCGTTGTTTGCTGGTCTCGTCATGATTTTTTTACTTACAGTTTGCTTCAATATATTCGATTTTTTTCATAATGGTAAAGCGTTGTGTCGTCCAGTTTTGTACTGATTCAAACAAAACTGGGCATACAATGCAAATATTTTCAAATTACGCAAATTTGAAGCGACAATTTGTGAAATTTGTTCAAGTGAAAATAGCCGATAGCGAGCGTATTTGAAAGTTCCAGGTTAGTCAAAGGTTTGACATGGACTTCTCACAAAGACAAAAGTTGAGAGTGACCACAATAATATGAGTATCCTGTTCCACAAAAGAAAGACGAATAAAAAATATTCTGACTTATTGATATTATAACAATATTTAAATGGTAACACAAAAAAACACGTCAACAATAATGATGATGAAAACGATAGTAATATACTAATAATTCAAAGAAGCTAGATCATGGTTCCCCTAGCCTCTGAGCTACAAGAATGATTTCCCATCTTTCTTTTAATTTTTCCGGTAAATTATAAATAATTTTCTCATTTTATTGTAATTCCATTTCGTGAGAGGTTTGCCTGATACAACAAGGCTTTCCGTGTTTTAGGGTATTCCGCCCTTTCGCTGCCCGCCGTCCCCATGTTCCATCATTCTGTTAAATAACTCAAGGTATCGCATTTCGCATTTCGCAGCTTGCTTGCATGGTGAAATACCCCTTGACCTGTTCAATTGATTGCAAAACAATACCGTGTTTCTTTTAACGCGCGCGTTTATTCGCCTGATTACATGATTTTTATGCGGAGTACAGGATGGGCACTGCAATTCTGAGGAATTGCCTTAAAGTCCCTATCACACGAATTTTTTTTTTCCGTAAAAACTTTGGCTTATCATATACAAAAACCAGTTCTGATAGAAGAAAAGTTTCAAAATACCTAACACTCAGTTTTTTCGGGCCCTAAAGTGCTCTTATTTTGTGTTAAAAGTGTCCCGTGGACTGGTAACGAATTAGCGGGTGATGACGAAGAAAACTATGAAAACTCTCAGTTGACACTTACAAATCCCCTCATCTCTTGTAATTTTGTATCAGTCAGCCTTGAAATACTCTTGAAATCATGTCCGATAACGATGTCTACCTTGTTAAGTTGCAAGTACGGCTCAGCCCTACGAAGGAGAACCGCGTGAATGAAACGAAGATTTCGTCGAAGAGTGACAAACGGTTTCTTGCTCGCAGTGTTCAGGTCGAGATTATGATGAAAAACTCCCGTTACTGCATGTTTAGTTTGTTGCGTTTGTTTTTTGTTTTCTACGGGGAAATCTATGTCAAGAATGGGTTGTTTGTTTCTGAAGCCATAACATTTTATTCCTTCGCACTAAGTGCTGCGAAGGTTCCCTTAAGTCAGTGCTCTAGAGTTTCGTTGTTGTAGAGTAATTCCTTAAGCAAATCAAAAGCTAACTTTTGACGAAAGAATCAGTTGTATCACGAGGCACGATGAATTTTCGCCGAGGAGTCATCAGGCAGTTTCACGGCAAGTTGCTTCTTTCCTCGGAGATTGCAGAGGCAAAGGCTACCGTCGTAGAGCCGGTCAAACAGGAAAAAAAAGAAGTTCATAGTCATCTGATTCGAGTTAACCTCAAATAGGGATTTTAGTGGAGAAAAACTTCCTAACTTTAAGAGCAGCATTGCCATATGGCCTATTTCGCTCAATGGCAAATAACTGACATCAGTATTGTAAGCGAATATTTCGTACGCATCGACTTTCACACAGCACTTGGATTCGCTACCATCTAATTCAATAATTCTTATTCAATCCTTTCTCCACCATACTTGCCGACGTATCTTCACAGTTTTCTACGTCACAGCTATATAACATGACCATGATCACTTTTGCATATCGCTCCAAGTCGTACGTTTTAATCAGTTTCTGCTACAGGAAAACCAGTTTGGGGGGGGGGGGGGGGGTGGAGGACTACGTTAACAAAGTGAGCTTTGTTTATCATCATTATTTGCTTTTAGGGACCAAGGGTTAAGGAAACAGGGAGAACGTTGGATTCTTCAGAGAAAGAGGAAATGTGCGTTTAATTTCAAATATTTTTCTCTGCGTAAATACTCTTTACGATACTCAAGCGAAAACCGGTTTACCACGGCCTGAACTATGGAAGAAATATCTTAGTTTGTGTAGTGTGATCGTCCGGGTGTGTGTAGTTCTGAAAAGTTCTGAAAAGAATGTTGTTGGTGACTGACGTTTCGACTATCTGTGCGATAGTCATCTTCAGAGTCAAGTGAGGAGTAGTTGTCAGTCGATGATGTTATAAGGTCTGGTCTGTTGAACGTGATTGGTCTGTTTAGCCGTGATGTGATTGGCTGGAAGACTCGTGTAGAGTTGTTAACAGTCATTGGTCGGTTTCGATCCGTCTGTTGTTTGTCGGTCTGTTTGTCGGTTTGTTCACGTCGTTAATGAGTCGTTTGTAAGGTGCTGGTAATTGTTGACATCTGTTGAGAGGCGTCTGTTCTAAGTTAGTGAACCAGCTTTCCAGAGTCAGTCGTTGAAAATAGTTTGTACTGTAGGTTAAGCATTTAGCAGAGTCCCAGTCGATTCTGTGATTAGTTTGTCGGTGATGTTCAGAAATGTGATTGTTTGCATCGCCATTTCTAGTTGCTCGTTTGTGTTCAGTTAGTCGCGTGTTAAGGTTTCTACCAGTCTCACCAATGTAGGAGGCCTGGCAGTCGGAGCATTCGATCTTATAAATCGCTCCCTGTCTGTTGTTGGGTTCGTCTTTGTCTTTAACGTTGGTCAGCAAATGTCGTAAAGTAGTAATAGGCCTGTGAGCTACGCGAATGTTGTAAGGTTGTAGGATCCGCGCGATAGCCTCAGAAGTGCCTTTGATGTAGGGTATAGCAGCTGTAGTCGTGATAGATGTGGAGTCCCTGTTAGTTTCTGTAGTGTCGGTAACTCTGTGAGTGTTTCGTCTAATGAAGTCAGTGTTGTAGTTGTTTTTGTCAAAAACGCGGTCAAGGTACTTGTTTTCGTCAGATAAACTGTCCGGTGTGTTGCAAACAAGTTGCGCTCGTCTTGTCAATGTCTTGATAGTCGTAGCTTTGTGGGAAGTCGGGTTGTAGGATGATTCGTCAAGAAGTCTGTCGGTATGCGTCGGTTTTCTGTATATTGTTGTTCGTAGTTCGTTGTTGTTTCGGCTTACCAAACAGTCGAGAAAAGGAAGCTTGCCGTCTTCTTCGATCTCCCTGGTAAACTGAATGTCGGTGTTTTGTTCGTTAAGGTGATTGTGAAAAGCGTCAATTTCGTCTTTGTGTACGGCGGTAAATGTGTCGTCAACGTAGCGTAACCAAAGCGGTATGGTTTGTCGGCAAGTTGCAAGGGCGCGTTCCTCGATGTTTTGCATCACAATTTCTGCGACAACAACGGAGACCGGCGACCCCATAGCTGTTCCGTGCAACTGCTTGTAGTGTTTCCCGTTGTACTGAAAGTAAGTCGATGTAAGGCAGAGGTTAAGTAGGTCCATAATGTCTTCTGTCGGTAATGGTAGTGCATCAGTAGACTGTTGGATGGCGGTTTCAGTACACTGTAGAGCCAATTGAAGTGGAATACTGGTGAACAGTGATTTCACATCAAAAGACACAAGTTTGTAGTCGTCAGGTATCTGTACGTCTTTGATAGCGTCAATAAAGTTCTCAGTTGATTGTAGTTTACGTCTCGATTTGTCAGTCAGTGGTTGCAGTATCGTCGTAAGGTATTTCGACAGTTGGTACGTCGGGGACCCACAGAATGAGACTATAGGTCGCATAGGTATCCCAGGTTTGTGTAGTTTCGGTAGTCCGTAAAGTTTAGGTGGTTGTGGTACAGAGCACCTCAGCCGGTAGTAGCGTTGAGTGTCAAAGGCTTTAGTCTTTTTGAGCGTAAGTAGTTTGTTGTTGAGTTTGCGTTGTAGTGCTGGCGTCGGGTCACGTTTAAGTAATTCGTAAGTTTGTTTGTCGTTAACAAGTGCGTCCATTTTGTCATGGTAGTCAGTCTTGTCCATAACAACAGTAACACGTCCTTTGTCGGCTGGTAGTATAACAATGTTCTTGTCGTTTTTCAGTCGTTTCAGTGCTTGTTGTTCGTCTTTGGTTAAGTTGCTATCAGTTATAGAGGCTGATTGTATCGTGGAAGCAATTCTACTTCTGATGTTGTCCTTGGCAGGTTCTGATAAGTCTCGTTGACGAGAAAGAGCCGCCTCAACACTAGATACAATAGACTCGGTCGGTATACGTTTAGGCGTCACTGAGTGTTTCAGTCCGTAAGATAGTACTTGAGTCTCAGTCTTGTCTAAGGGACGGGAAGAGATGTTCCTGACCCAGTTGTCGTCGGTTCTTTGTCGTCTTTTGTCTTTGTTATGTTGAAGTCGCGTCAGTTTTTGTTGATGTTTGTCACGAGCTTGGTAACTCGTTTTGTCGGCTCTTCTGTCGGCAATAGCTGTGACTGTGTCGAGTAAGGTAGTCGGTAACTGCTGTTTCAGTTTGTCAAGTAGTTGTTGTAATTTGTTATTGTAGTGGTTGAGTCTTCTGTGACAGTCGTTAATCCGCGCTTTGACCAGTCGTCGGCAGGTGGATTTGACGATCTGGATGGCCTCTTGTGTGTTCAACGGGGACCTAAGTCGAAGTCCGGCTGGAACGAGACCAAGGTCTTTGCAGCGGTGGTTGAACCAGAGTTGTTGTCGTATTCGTCTGACAATCATTGCGTAACTGATGTAGTTGTTCGCAAGTCGTTCGCTCTGTCGTCCAAGTGAACGTAGTAAAGTAAATGGTTTGAACCCAGGAGTATCAGTAGTTTGTGTAGTGTGATCGTCCGGGTGTGTGTAGTTCTGAAAAGAACTGTTGTTGGTGACTGACGTTTCGACTATCTGTGCGATAGTCATCTTCAGAGTCAAGTGAGGAGTAGTTGTCAGTCGATGATGTTATAAGGTCTGGTCTGTTGAACGTGATTGGTCTGTTTAGCCGTGATGTGATTGGCTGGAAGACTCGTGTAGAGTTGTTAACAGTCATTGGTCGGTTTCGATCCGTCTGTTGTTTGTCGGTCTGTTTGTCGGTTTGTTCTGTTTGTTCGGTTTGTTGAAACAGACCGACAAACAACAGACGGATCGAAACCGACCAATGACTGTTAACAACTCTACACGAGTCTTCCAGCCAATCACATCACGGCTAAACAGACCAATCACGTTCAACAGACCAGACCTTATAACATCATCGACTGACAACTACTCCTCACTTGACTCTGAAGATGACTATCGCACAGATAGTCGAAACGTCAGTCACCAACAACAGTTCTTTTCAGAACTACACACACCCGGACGATCACACTACACAAACTGCTTGTAGTAATCTTCATCATTCATCCTCTGGAAATTTGATAACCGAGTTCTTCTTTAAAGCCACCGTCCAAAACAACCAAGTTATTTGAATAATTTGATGCTATTACAAGCGTTTGTTGTTTATTGTTTTAACAAATATACACCTGTAGGCCGACTTACAGTTGTTCTTATGATCTTACTTTCATAACACTTTTGAATATATTTTGAAGTCCTGAATGTCACTGCAGTCTGAACCAATGCCTCACAAAGAAAATCACTCGACATATTTGCATATGAAATCAGCCCTATTGTTATTTCGATTGCGTGACTATACACGAAATTACCGGAAAGCATTTCTAATATATGGCTGGAATTAAGCAAACTGATACTTATTTATACTGTCGATCAACAATGAGGTTCTCAAAGGAACCAAGAAATATTTAAAATACCTGCATGGTAATAGGAAAATGTGAGTGAGAAAAATTACGATAATTAAAAAAATCTGAATATTCATTATGAAAATAATATTGAAAAGTAATGGTAACAGGATAAAGTGGAGTCCAATTCGGTCTGTAATCATACGAGTGAAAACAAAATCGGACGACTGCGTACCGGGAGTCCGATTTGTTTATCACGAGTCCTATTACCAATCAATCAAAAAAATTACAAATTCCGAGAAAAGAAGAATAGCCGAGTTATGAAAGAAAGGGAAAATTTGCATGAAAAGACTGACAAAGAGGTGTAAAATGTTGAATGGTTGATTTGAACTGCAACTTTAAATGTGATTGGCTTATTGGACCGCCGATAATTTCTATGATTATAACTATCGTAAAAATACTAATGTTAATAACGATGAAAACAATGAAAATAATAATAGTCATAATGATATTGATGATTATGGTAATAAAGATAACCTCCTCCAAAGGAAGGATCTCTCCTTATAAAACTCTCTACATGCCTTGCTGTCTTTTTTTGAACCAATTCTAGAAACTTGGTCGCTCAAACGCACATTTCTGATAAAATTACGAATACCAATACATGCTTAAGCGTGCAATATAAATTTACATACCCAGTCAACGGTTTGAAAGGATCCTTGACAGAACAAAACTACCTTTCAGTTTTGAAAAAAATTTCTCATTTTTTATTTTTGTTTAAAATGTTTTGTTTTAGTCATGCAAAGCCCGGTTTATACTAAAACTGATTAGAAGGCAAACTTAATTAATGAAATTAACTGCTACTACGGTGTGAGTACTTCATCAAAATTAGCTTTGAAATTAATCGCCTCGTGATCTTATATCTTTTAGAGCGTTAGCCGATGAGAGGAGAATAAACTCGTTCCTCAAATGCTGAAAACTTGTCGTCGCCTACTCCACCAAATCCTCAACGTTTGCGTACAACTGCTTGTCGTAGATTTTCATATTGATTAGCCTCTGTGGACGAAAGAAAGGTATAAGAGGATTTCTCTAATGTCCATCAAGAATTATTTATTTCTGCATGACCTCATCTAAAATGCTCAAACCCATGGCAGGTAAGGAAACGAAGTCTTCAGTTGTACTTAGTTGGCTGATCAAGCAACTTAATGGAGAGTACAGGTACATAGTTGCCGCGTTTATCATGAACACTTCGATGTTATTAAGAATTTTATTAGTAAATCACTCCACGTATTTTATAATGATCCCTCGTAATATAACTGGATGTAAAAGTTTACCTTGTGCAATGTTTCCATGGCTTTGAGCTGGTTTCTTAGATCAAAGAAGGTTGGTCTTGTACCCGGGTCATCTTGCCAACATCTCAACATTATGTCGTACCTACGTTTCATATAACACAGGTTGGTACTTGATATACATAAAGTACATTAAATCAAATTGAAACGAAACACGTGAGTTGTTTTCACGATGAATTCATTGTTATCGCACAAAAATGTTTAACTTGTCATTTTCTCGAATGTGGATATGCTAATCGTTATGCTGATATCTTTCAAATTTTAAAGAATGAACATTTCCATAAAGTAAGCGATTAATTTAATTACTGAAGAAGAAAAAGATGCTTTGGATTAAAGCTTTTTAATTACTTACTAAATATACCTTAGTAGAATCAAAGGCGCAGTAACATATTTTCAGGCCTCATTAGAGTATCAGTCTTAAAGAAACTTTAGCACTTACAACTTATCATCCACATGTGGTGGCTGAGGCATTCTGTATCCCCGCTGAAGTAAGTTGGCAATCTTCCTGCCATCCATCCGCGGATACGGTGAACCACCTGATATAAAGTAACTTGGGAGACTATTGCAACACGAGCATAACTCTATGCTTAGATTTTTATGCGGCGAATTGAAGAAATGATCAAAATTATTATATGACGTGGGACGCGTCCTCTTAGACGGAGAACACATTTTAAAGGGTATCCGGTCGTTCCGAACCCAGCGAACGAACGTTTCGTACCCAAAATTGAGTCAGTTCGTACCAAGCCAATGATCGATTCTTACCTGATTTTTACCCTTCCCAATTATTCGAAACACCTCCCGCGCGAATGCATTTAACAGATATCAGTTGCTGCATAGGACAAGGTTGTAGAGTCAAGCGAGTATTAGTGGCTAACCCTAGTCACCCTTGATGTTATAAAACATCAACCTAGTTGAAACATATTGTGGGCGTAAGACTCTCTCTGTTGCTAACCTAATATAATTCATTGAAACTAGTCAATAAGTATTACCTATTGTAAAAATCTCATAAAGGACAACTCCATAGCTCCATCTATGAGGCAATAAGACAATGGAGAAAATCAACAACTGTCGGACATTTTAAAACATTCGGCTTTCCTGTCCTTAGACAGTAGTACAACTTTTAGCAACGCAAATAATTTGATTATACTAAAGACTTGTGGATCACCATCAATAGATGTTATGAAATTACTGCCACAAGTGCATCTTTACGGCTATGAAAATAGAAAATGGCGAAAACTTCAATTCACAGGACTTACACATCACTTTTGGTCGTATATTTTCCATACAACAGCGCCTCATAAGCTGTCCACTTTACTGGAAGGCGGCCCTTAAAATTTTGAATGGAAAAAAATTTAAGTTAAGAACTTTGAGACCGAGGAAGATAAACGACCATGTGAGACGCTCTTTTATGATATTCAGGATCACCAGTGCATAAACCGTGCCTCTTTTCTCAATGAAGCAAATATTCTCACCAAGGGGCAATCTCTTTCCAACAAACTACACTTTTCTACTCTGTTGCCTGGGTAACTTCAAAATTCACAAATGCTCAACATTGAGCAAAATCTACAGAATCCAAAACTTCTACCTAGAATTAATCTGGGACAGCACTCTTATATACCCAGCCTTTGGAAACTCAGCTAAATATTTTCCGCAAAACAGTATCAAGATCAGCATAGCATCAGTAATCTTCACCACGGTTCCTTGACCTGAAATGTCAAATTCTCAGAGTTGCCTTTTAATAGCACTGACGCTTGCGCCAAGACTCCCAGAAATATCCAGAATCGTGCCATTCTAAATGCTCAAGCTGACCTTTGCTTACTTCCAACCTAGGACGACCATTCCATCCTGTTAAACTTACAGCAAATGATTCTTTCCGCTGATCTCGCCCTGCGTCTGCCAGAATTGACATCATTTCACAAAGTGAGTTCATCGACTACATGTATAGGCATACTGGCTGCTGTCCTTGAAAAATGACGGGCGCTTTTCGCCGTCTTTGCAACACGTGATCAGCCACATCATAACTTAAATTTTGCCTTAATTTTCTACATTCTCCACGAACTAAACCTATACTCATCTTTCACTCCCTATCTTATCTGGCCGACGGACAATACGCTAGAGGTTCATTATGAACTGGATGCGGTGAAGAATTCGCAGAAAACTGAGGGGTTTTTGTTCAAATGGAAATGTGATCGGTCAATCGACTCGCAGATATTTCAATAGCAAGAAAAGCAAGAGCTAAAGCGATCCGTTAGATTAAAGAATTGATTCATGCTTTGTCCGAAGTTTGGAGAGCACGAGAGAAGCGTAAGAGTCTCTGGAGGCGTAGAGGAGAGCAACTCTGGCATGCAGACACAAATTGTGCACGAAAAAAGAGTTTATTACAACTGTGTCGGGTTTACGAGGTAATCGAGTTCTAACCAACAGCTGTGAATAACTGACAAGGCCAAAACGAATAAGAAATATTTCGAGATAAAGTCTTTATTCAAAAAGGCCACATTGGACAGTACTGGTATTTGAATGATTATTTATTTGAACGATTATTTATTCCACCATCACTATACATCATGCATCGGTAGCTCGGTGGCTAATCTCAAGGACAGAGTGAATACGATGTACTCGAATCGTCGGAAGACACATAATCACCGATAAACTTTAAAGGTCATTAATAAGTAATACTTCACATTACCACACGGAGAAAAGTACCTTATGTTGGTAGCGAAGTCACTAATTTGATAGAGCGATCTAAATTTCGAGTGGAGCGATCTAACCATGGTACGATCAAACCGGATACCGTCTCCAACGTCGCAAGGGCTCAGTTGAAGTCAGCAAACTCAGCTTCTTTTTCAGCTGTAATAAGCATCGCGTTTGGGAAAAAAGTATCGTTAACTCCAGAGCTAATTTTGTAGCGTGAAAGAGCTACATGGTCATTGTTTTTCGATAAGGGTATTGCTTAGCATATCTACTTTTAATTTTGAGCTCCAAAAGGTTTACCTTAATCGGGATGGAACACTCAGTTTGGATATGACGTGTGCTGTCATTGTTTGAAAGAACGTGTCAAAGTGACCGCGATCATGCTGAGATCCAACGTTGCTAGCTCATTATGGCGATCTCCGGTCATCGCTTTGAAGCAAGCCTCAGAAATTACATCGGCCGCCCTTCGAGTGAACAGCTAAGAACTTGCTCTGATATCATTTCCGATGTGTTGAGTGGAAGGCCACATAAGTCACTGCAGCGGAGTTTTAAGGCGCTGTCATCCCAAGCAATATTTATGTTCCGATGATTTCGGCTGTTGTTCACTCATAAAACACACGCTTTGAGCAATATGTTTCCCCGTTGTCATGTCAAAAAATTCGCTTTTTTATGAGTCACAGTTTGGCCGGATTTCAGTGGACATTTCACTTTCAGGTTAGAGACTAAAAAACTTCGGCAAAAAGTGTTAGTTTCGACCTGCCTAACTATTTAAGTTTGTGAATTATTGCAGAATATGACCTCTGATGGTTTTTGAACTTTGATGGTTTGACACTTTTGAAAACTTTAGTCTTGTAAAGCCAATCAGATTATTTGAAATATTCTAACAGTAAGGAGAAGTGAATGAAAGTGATCCTCGCAGTAATGTGCACTACTTGGGCAGTAGCGAAAATAAGGCCTAGACTAAAAAAATTTAGGCCTGTACGCGATTTGAACCCATGACCTCTGCGATACCGCTACCAACTGAGCTAACGAGCCAACTGTTAGCTGGTCATTATGTTAGTTCCAAATAAACCCGTTAGTGATGAATAAACAATTAAGAATATACGAAAGTCCTATATTTGAACTGCGGATAAAGACGCTCCCAGTTGGCTCGTTTGCTCAGTTGATAGAGCGCTGCACTGGTATCGCAGAGGTCATGGGCTCAAATCCCGTACAGGCCTGAATTTTTTTCAGGCCTTATTTTCACTACTGCCCAAGTAGTGCACATTACTGCGAGGATCACTTTTACTCACGTCTTTATCCGCAGTTCAAATATATGACTTTCATATATTCTTAACAATAAGGAGAAGTCTCGTGTTTCTCCCTACACTTCTTTCGTGATCTAACCGCTTCCTGCGCGCTTTACAACAGAATAGAGCACAGTTATGACAAATACATGTCATTTGATAAACTAAAGCTTATTTCTTTCTTATTACCTTTGTCTTTCTCTCGTAGATATTTTCCTCTTGCACATTTCTAGCCATTCCGAAATCTGTTACTTTACAAGTTTCACTTTCTCCGACCAACACGTTACGAGCTGCGAGGTCTCGGTGGATGATCTAACGGATGGAGAGAAAAAAAGGCCGTCTGAGATTACGTGTGGCCACTGATAAAGCACAATTTTTATGGCATAACAGAGGTAATATCATATGATATTTTCAGACAAAATCCCCTGAGGAGTGATTGTGACGATAGATTTTCGCGCACTAAATTTGACTTCGCGGGAAACGTACAAAACGGGGGGAATTAACTCGGTAGAGACCACTCGGCTGGCGAGAACGGAAACTCGTCACAATTTCCTCGGACATGGAGATCTACTTCGTGTGAGCTTGTACGGACGTCAAGGAAGAGACAACCTTTTTGTTCCACAGTAGAGTTTTATTCGTAGAGCACTCTAACATACATCATGCTAGAGTCAAAACTAAATCTGTAATCGGCACACCGTCGTCTGTGTAATCGGTACGCCGTCGTGGATGTAATCAGTACGCCGTCGTGTGTGTAATCGAAAAAGCTTTTCAAAGTACTTGCTTAAATATGAACTGGTGTGAGGTTCTACTGTTACACAAATCACAGTATTTGAATAAAAACACAAAGAAGCGGAAAAAAGTCTCTTTGAAATTAAACGAAAGCTACTTAAATATTCCATCTATTTCTACGACGGAAAGAATCTCAAAATTAAAAAGACGGATGCAATAAACTCAAGGCCATTAAAATAGGAAACTTAGGTGCGAATTCACAGCTCTGGTATAGAAAATATACCTATCTTAATTACAGCAGAGCAGCTTAAAAAATAAAAACGGAAAAGCAAACAAAGGTTTCTGCTTATCTATGCAAGGTTGGTGTGGAAACTATCGTATGAAAAGAAATTAAAGTTACGAGTATAAACTCAGCCGCTATCTACCATGAAAACCAATTTTTCCAGAAAGATCATAAACACTTATATTAGCTTAAAAGCCCCTGTAATAAAAAACAAAAGCAAAACACAAGCAAAATCTATTCCAAAAGCTACTGTGGTTTTCATACATTTTTTTTGACTTACTAGAATGAAAGAACTTTAATGAACTCTAAAAGTTTACAAATAAATATGTTCCAAACAAACACACGGAAATATCAGTAAATTTTCCCGTAACATGATCTAATCACGAAACAGGCGTGTCAGAACAAAGCTTAGTCTCTTTGTTTTTCCCCCGAACTCAATTTATATCACGCTCCACTTCTATGTGTCGAGCACTGTAATACGGAAAAACTGAAACATAAACTTCCCATATCACTTCCTGTGATTAGCTGACATTTAATTAAACGGTAACAAATAATCATATCAACAATAATAAATATGATAATAACGGTAATGACAATTTAGAGGGAGCAGCTTAAAAGCCTCCCGGTTTCTCCATCCTATGGGCACTAACAAAATTACTACACAATTCTTCTTTAATGTTCTCCTGTTATTTTCAAGTAATATTCTTATTTCATCACAATTCTATCTTTGTGAGACTTTTGTTTCATACAGCAAGGCATTCCGCGTTTTAGGATATTCCGTCATTGCTTGTTTATGGATATTATGCAATACCGCCATCGCACCAATTTACCGTTCCATCATCAAAATTTTTCCTCAAAGTTTCTTTGACGGGCAGATCACACCTATTTAGATATTCTGCAAGAAAAGTTTGGTTTTGTTCGTTATTATAACTATGCGTCTGCGAGACTATGAATTTATTTTGAGATGTTTAAAGTTCTCGTAGTATCACGGAAAAACCTGAAAAATGTTCATTTCCAGATCTACTGGGCATAATTTGCTGATTCAAATGCGGTTGTGTTCGATGATATGAGGAACGAAAGTTGAACAACGGAGATAGTCAGAGGTAAACTATAGGAGATATCGGAGGAACATCCAGTTAAAGTCGGTTCCGCATTCTTATTATTGAGAACATTCTTTCAGATGCGGTAGCTGCCAACGTTTACATAAGATGACTGAGTTAAGTCAATCAGCAATGAACTTTGACTGTTCCTACGGCTCGTGTTTCATATCTGTTGACTCATAAGGTGACATTTGATACAACATTACTAGGTATTAGTTGTAAGAAGCTGCTGTTAAAGGTGAAATCGATTAAATTAACTTAGGTAAATTCTAAAGTGGTTGCTTGGGATTTCTTAAACAGCCTCCAAAAAGTCTCGGAATTTCTTACTTACCTACGGACTTACAAGGATGATAACATAAAAAACGTTAGAAGCAATAGGCTAAGAATCCCAAAAATAAAGAACTCAACTGAGTACTCGGTGCGAATATAAAACTACTGAGATACTCCGAAACAAACAATAAGTAACACCGGGACACTCACTAATGCGGGTATCAGCGGCCATCCCGAGGGGTCGACCCCCGGGCACCCAGGGGCATTTGTCACAGCTGCCGTGACAAATACATGCTAAAGCCCCTCGGGTAGGGCAAAAAATTGGGACAAATACCCCCACCCCTGGAGCAACCTGGGCAACATATAGTCGGTGTTGCCTGTTCCTCGATGCAAAAGTACGAGTGATCATGGTTCACTGAAGCCACATCAGCACTAAAATCCACACAAGTCTCTATGGAGTCCTCAAATTCGAGCTTTCTGGGGCAAACTTTCTTGGCTTGCGGTTGTTCATCACACTGTCTCTTCCTATCGGCAAGACGCTTCGAATGCGAACTAACCGTATGAAATTGAAATCTCGATGTCGCTTTCCTTAAAATGCAATGAACAGATTCTTGGATCGCCGAGTGTCTTGAATTTTTTATCCGCTCGCTTACAGAAAACCTCCCACTTCTTACGCTCATTGGGCCTTGTAGGAAAGCAAAAATAACTGAGATCAGGTCGTTTCTTACTCCCATTACGGCACAGAGCAACAGCACAATACTTGACCATGGTACACAGGAAAATATTACCTCGAGGGCTAGAAGAACATCGAGCAAGCGAGCTTGCTTGTCCTGTGGCGAAAACCGCTGAACGTTAAGACAGCAGATTACTTGCAAATCCCGTGAGTATGGCCCCGGGGTATTTTGCCAAAAACGCAAAAGCGCTCTAATGCCCCGCGTGCGGGGCATGCCTTTGCTACAAATCCCCTGCTAAGCCCGTGGGTTGCCCTTGGGTTGCCCGGGGGTCGACCCCTCGGGATGGCCGCTGATACCCGCATAACTAATTCCGACGACATATGTGACTTCGTCTCTAATATGAGGCAGTATAGCCACGATGAAATCAATGAAATCCGAAATTCCTCCTGTAACAAGCAAACAAAAGCACTAATTCTAATTATTTGCCCCAGCTCAGAGGGATAATGATATTCATCATAATTGTAACTATCATTAATATTGCCATCATCATCATCATCGTTGCTATTATCAATGTCATTGTAAAAATTATGATTATCATCACTATTCAAATCTGAGTGCTCTGCTGACAAGTGTCCCTTCTAATGATAACTCTACTACTCGACACTCGAGTACTCGACAGATACAAAACTCCTCAATTACATGTTATGTAAATGTTTAATTAGCAGAATTATTTCTGGAAAAAAAACTTAAGAACCATTTCTATCTGAGTTAATCTGACAAATAGTTCCAAACTTCTTAAACTTACAGATTTCGACGACAAGTAACTCATGCCATCAGCGATTTGCCATGCGAACTTCATCAGCTGCTGTGATCTCAAGTTTGTTTGTGGTTTGATATCCGGGTCTTTATAGTAAGTGTCATTTAATCCACGGCTCTTTCTCAGATAACCCAGCAGGTCTCCAAAAGGAACATATTCTATCAACACCAGCAGTGGCTCTAAGAAAACAGGTAAAAAATGATGACGATTTTTATCACGCTAAAAATTTTCTTTACATTTCTTACTAATCCTATGGTGCCTAACTAGTTCCCAGTTACACTATGCGAGGTCTGTCTGACCAGGACGTGTTACCTCGTCACCAAACACTCATCCGGTAACCATCGTTGTAGTTTTTAGAAATAGAGCTATTAAATGTTTGATTAAATAAATTTACGTTTGCTGGAGCTCTAACTTGTTGCTCCTTGTTTTTATGGGATAAAAAAGGATCCCCTTGTGAACTTTCAAACTTCGAAACATTTGTTTTGTCGACAAAAAATGCATGCGATCGATAACATTTCTTTTCGGTCTTGTTATTCGTTCTCATTCCGTTAAATGTTTATTGTCACTTTCCCTTTGATGTACATTCTAAATATTTACAGAATGGACTTTGTTTGATATCTGATAGCTTGTTTGATATCTTGTCGTCTCTTAAATCAGATCAAATTGGTACCTTTTCGATCGTCACGCGCATTTGACCCACCTTTCGCCATCTTGAAAAAACTATCGAGCCTTTAGTACGGCTCTGCAGTATTTCCCGTGGTATTCGTATGGCGATGCCCACGAGACTCAAGAGCAAACTGAAAAGTCACCTAATGCTTTGAATGTATATCACATTAGCTAGCAACCTTGGTGGCGAGTTTACTGATGGCGACTTGGTAGTGGCGAGATTGCCTTGATGGCTAGCTAGCTGGTGGAAAATATTCCTGGTAGCGAGATAATTGTCTAGCACTGAAATTAGCGATGAATTGTCTCAAATATTTTCGCGGGCAGAGAAACTCGCGTCTTGTGGCACTTGTAGGGACCTTTAGCAATTAGGACGGCAACGCTAGGGAAGACGTCGACTTAAAAATAAATATATATTTTTAGTTGGAATCTTGCGAACTACTGGATGTGCTTATTATCTCTTATGGCGCCACAACATAATCTCAGCATGACGTTTGAAAGCGGTGTGGAGTGCTAAATGGAAACTTAAGTAATTTGCCGTCAGGTTCAGGCTACCACAGCATTGAGCACTTTATGCCAAGGTAGACTCTACCCCCACATTGATTTATATATATATATCTGAAGGTTGAACTAATCAATAAGACAACTTTTTCCTTGCCTCTGAATTTCACGCTTACGGCTTGCGGTGTTGACCCTTTTTTTGATGCGGTATTGCGGTGAAGAACAATCGGTATTGCAGTGTTGCGTTGATCTCAAAGCTTACGGTGTACGATGTTTGTAATTTCAAACCATTTCTGGTGTTGCCGGATATCGTAAGGGGGAAGGGGGTGTGAAGTAGATTTATCACATAGACTGCGGTGTTATACAGGGATTTCCGGCTCTGAGAAAAGCCTTAACAACACACGTGAAAAAATACGATATTTTTTCACATGTGTTGATATAGCCAATCAGCTGCTTACACGTCACTCGCCTTTAGCGCCACTCGGTCAGGTTGATGAATGAACGGCAAAGCCTTCACGATTCTCAATACAAGTTGTTTGTCGGAGCTTTCTCGAATTATGGCGGCTAAAACACTAAAAAAATCCGTATCGCTGACAGACAATGAGGTTCAAACTTTCCTAGAAGGGGAAGAAAACCAATATACTAAAAGCTCGCATTTTTGTCGGTTTTACCAGATTGTCCACATGTTGGTAAAAGTATGGAAGTAGCATTCTCCAACTGGTGGCTGAAATATAATGGCGAACCTATCAACTTTGATAAGGACTTTGATAAGGACTTTGATAAATCGCTAAAACAAAGAAACGAAAGACACCATCCCAAAAAACGATCATGTTAAGATCAAAGATAGAAAAGATCTATCTTCCGTTTTCACCCTTAGAAACACTAAGTTAACCGCTTAGTTGAAAGACGCTGGTTACGTCTGTCATACAATCATCCCAAATTGTATGATATTATACTTATATATACTTAATATATATTTATTGTATGACAGGTATTCTCCTAACAACCAGCTTGGTATGTTTCCGTCACCAATTAGCATCGTTATTCCGTCTTACGGATGGATGGCATTTCTGTCCTGTGATGTGAAGAGTTCCTTGTCTAAACTTTACAAAGCTCGCTTGCATAGCCCTGTTGACAAAATTTCAGCAATTAGACAAAATCTCTAAGCAAGAGATATCCACTGTGCTGCTGAGATCATCTTCCTAACTTCTGACGGTGAGCCTATCAAAGCAATTCCGTTTGCAGACGGGGCAATCAATATCTTGTCTCGGCCAAGAAAAAAGTACGATTTCATCAACCTTGCCAATCGACTCCACCTGCCATTCGTGGGGACTGTTAGAGAAGTAAAGGAGAGGCTGAAGATCTAAAGATCTCAAATCCAGAGATATTCTGGATAACATAAAGGCTAATGAAATCCATTTATAGAATTTGAAAGACAATCATCCTTTGAAAGTATGCTGCGCGCCGACGATGAACTGATATACACTGCGAGGAAGGACATCAAAGTGATTGTCTCTTTTCAAGTGGAAAAGGATGGCGTTGGGCTGAGAGGGGTAAACATGCAAGAAATCATGAAGTATGGGCATTCATGGCAAAAGATCTACAGCATGTTTCTGCATATTGGATGCATTTTCCTGTCACATTGCGAGGGAATCAGGAAATTTTCTTTGGAAGTAGTTAAACTGAAAGATGAGCCATGCATGTTGACAGTAGCGCTGTCCTTTGTCCGCCAGCGTAAAGAGATCCTAGAGAGGAACACCAACGAGATACGAATGAGTACTGGCATTACAAGCGCTATTAATGGACCTCATTAATATTTATTATTAATGTTTCCGCCAGGACCGTGGCCTCAGTTGCACCTCTTGAAAGGGGGCTGCAGAAGATTGTGCAGCAATTTGCAACCATTCAATTAAAGTTCAACTAATCTCTTGAGTTGTATCACACTGGACGTAGAGAATTGCCATTCCGCTGTTCATATCAAACAGGTGAACATGTCCATGATGGAGTATGCTAGATCCTTTGAATTTACCATGAAAGAATCAAGAAGGCGACACAATGGGCCGGGTTTTATCATACAAGTAGGAAGTTATGGTTCCCAAAACCAAAAGAGACAATACCATTCTCTAAAGTCCCTTTGATAAAGCAACTTCCCATCGTTGATATGTCTAATGCAAATTGCGATATTATGCGGAATTGGGCTTCGGCGTAAGGAGCAGCAGTGCGACAGCGGAGAGTGCGCCAAGAGACGACCATGGCAAAGCATGGCAATCTCCCTGAGTTTATATGCCAATCGCAGCTGTTGTTAAACCAATGAGTGAAAGCGGACCACCCGGTTCTTTATAGGATGAAGCAAAACCAGTCGACATCATCGTTGACCACATCGATAGAAAAACGATAAACTTAGCTGGTATAGTGTTAGTCACCACGATGACTAACTGCATAACTTTTTCTATGAAATAGAAAATGGATTTAAAACAAAAAAAATTAGCCAAAGAAAGTCGTGAGATCAAAGGAAGCAAACTGTGAACTTCACTTATTGTGAGAATGTATTCTAACTTCAGAGGACGCAAGACTGACCAAACGGAAACACTGTCGTATCACTTGGCAGCAGTAACTTCTTTGGCTTCTTTTAGTGTCGCCTAGTGAAATGTAGGCGACAGCAAAGAACTTTACACGCGGAGACTGCGGTAGGAATGTCTTGTGATGTGTTTCTTTTGTTTGAAAAGTAGAAGTAACCGTGATGACGTTTTTTTTTTTTTTTTAATTTAGACCAGGTAAATCTTGCGGTTTCGGCGAGTTGATAATATTTCTTGCGGTTATGTGGTGTTTGTTCTATTTTGTTTGCGGTGTTGCGGTATTTAGAACCTACCATGTCCCCCTCCTTACGAGATCATCAAACAGATTTTAATGAAGATTGTACCTCACTTAGTTTAAATATATACAGTGGTTGTTCAATTTTGCTAGTTCGGTGCGGTTAGCATATTTCCTGTTGCGAAATGATAGTCTATGTTGCATAAATCGTTGTTTGAATGTTCCTTCTTTTAATCCGATGAAGTTCTTTCCTGTGTTGTCTTTGTCCGTGGTCACCTTGGTTTTGTAGATTACGCTAATGATGAGGCAGTTGTTATCTAGCGGGAATTGGTCTCTTTTTCTACAGTTGCATCCGTTTTGCGTTGTGTTGTTGTTGTTGTTAAGAATTTTCTTGTTATGGTTGTTAATGATGCTGCCCATGTTCGGAATGCAACTGTAGCTTACTTTCACATTATTCTTGTTAAAGACTGGGTGGAGATGTTGGTTTGATGGGAAGTGTTTCTTGACTAGGTTGAGGAAGGTTTTAGCGACGTTGGTTTGGACATTTTTGCTGTATTGGGGGTTAAAGCAAATGATGTTTCTTTTACTATTTCTTTTCGTGGGTGCGGTAGTGTTTTTCTTGCAGTAGTTAAGGCTTTCGTTGAATCCATTTGATCTAAGGGCTTTGTCGTAGAGAGGCTTAGCTCTGTCGAATGTTTCTTTGTTGGATGATAAGGCTGATAATTTGCGATTGATGGCTGTGGGTATTTGCTTGATGACAGTGGGTGGGTGGTTAGGATATAAAGCGGCTCGTCATTCGGTCTTCTGTATGGTTGGAAGAGTCCGTTCGTCAAGTTGAGTGTAATAGCGAGGTAGTCAAGTGATTTTAAGTTACTTTGAATTGTTATTTTCGGTCCGTGTTCCTTGAAGCGCCTTGTTACTTGCTACTTGAGGTCCTGTGGTGTTCTTAAAAATGGCGAGTCCTTCGTCCCTGTAGAGTCCGATGTTGTTTGTTCAGTATTTGTTTGCAAGGTCGTCCAAGATAGAAAGTCCAATTAGTTTGCATACTTCTGCGCCGTCAAAGCCTCCCATCGTTACGTCAAACAAATCGTCGTTGTCTTTTTTCACCCTAGGTGATCTGTTGTGGAATATAATTGATTTTCTGGAGTGCATGATAATATCGATATCTTAATTGGTGATCCTGGTGGTTTCATGCATAGCGAAATGGATGGCGTTGGTCAGTAGTTTATCAGATATGGTCGATGTCGAATACGGTGAAGGTGTGTAGATGCTTGTCGAAGATATTTTTGAATCAGTCGATTACGGTGGAGGAATTTTTCCATTGGTTTAGTGAAGTTTTGTTTCTTACGTCGGTGTCGATTCGTTGGAGTATTTGTTTACTTATTCGCTTTTGACTGGGTTGATTAGTCTTCAGTTCGGTCCTGGATGTCGAGTTGCGTTGCTATGGCCTTTGCTTCTTGGCTAATATTGTAAACAAAGTCCTTGCTCGCCTCTTTGTGGGTTGTCGTTAAGTTGTTTTGCATTAGTTTTTCGTGCTGGGTTTCGTCGAGTTCGTAGAGGTTAGTTGTTTTGTCGGCGGGGATGAAGGCTTTCGTAGAGCTTTTGATTCTTTGTATGTCCCTATTTAGCTGGGTTTGAAATTCGTCTTGTGTGTCTCTGAACTGGATGTTGTTTACAATGTCCATGAGGTCTGCTTCGAATCTATCTAGATCTTCATGTTTAGGGGGGGAATTTTCGAGATTTAAATCAATATTTATTTAAATTAAGTGAGGTATACTTTTCATTGAGATCTATCTGATGATCGCGTAAGCATGAAAGTCAGAGTCACAGAAAAAGTCATGTATTTTTGATTAGTTCAAGTTTCAGATATACCACGCTCTGCGGACGCATCGATTACTATGCCGCAAGGATAGACTATAACTACGATTTATATATATATGTACTTTGAATTCTGGCAGACTATTTCTGTTTTTGTTTCTTTTTTTCATCTAGTAACCAGTATGCCTTTCTTTTGACCGGTTTCGGCGGGAAATCAATTTTGATGAATTACATTTGAAAAAAGCGTTTAAGTAACCTCATAAACTCAACCCACTACAACCTCGTGATCTCCGTTTTCCATTAATCTCCAAAAGTGTGACATCATGCACGAATAAAGTAAACAGCTGCAAGTATCAGCTTACCAGATTCCGTAACACATCCCAAAAGTTTGATGACGTGAGGATGTGGTTTTAGCTGCTTCATTGTGTCAAGTTCTGCCATCAAATCTCTCTTGTCAGATTCTGCAGCGTTACCTGGAGATAAAACAAGTTAAGACTTTGAAAGGGCGATCGCCACTTTGAACTGGTGCTCGCAAGTGCCACTTTGAACTGGCGATTGTACCACTGTCCAAAGAGACTGCCGGCTCATTACGCCCAATATGATTTCGATCATTTTCATGTTGGTTTCTCTCTCAGCAATATGTTTTTGTTTGTCTTCGTGCAAAGCAGTTTTACACTCGTATATTCCAGTGGTTCAACAGAACGTTGGTCAGAAAGATGGGCTCATTTTCAAACACACAGGGTATGGGTGTAATGGAAGATTATACCTGATCAAAATATCATGTAAATCATCACTGATTCGATGCCGCTCACAAATTTATAATACAGTAAAACATTACCATGTGGCGGAAAGTCGTAAAACCTAGTGCCGACAGTCTAACTTTTGTAAAGGAATAAAATATTAAGTAAGTGCATCTCAACAGGATATTTTCTAACGCAAATTTGCGCTAGAAACTTTATTCAGAATTGGCCGGTGACGCACCTGTCCAAGTTTCCAGAGAAAGTATTGCCAGACTTTTTGATATACTATGAGAATGATGAAGTGGTGTCTTCCCCTATAAAAAACACTTTTACAGACAAAGAAGGTACGTGAAGATTGCTGTGGAGACCTAACTCAGGATATGTTCTAGATCCGCATTTCAGGAGCTTTCCTTTGATATGCACTTTGATGGGGAAAAATCGTGTTGCCTTTTGCCTCGCCGTCAAATCTGCATGGGGCTAGAAGTGCCTTTGAGGTAATTTGTAAAATCGTTTCACACGGCTTCATCATCACAAGTGTCATCATGGTTTTCTTTTGCAAGTCGAGCGTTATGGGCGTATTCCTAGCTTCTAAGAGTGTTCCTGAACCCGACCTGTTGCGGAAGACCGAAAAGGTGAGCATCATAGATAGGAGATATCTTGTTTTAGCAAGATTTGAAATGAGGATTGCCCCTGTTTGGGGGAAGACTTAAAAAAATAAACCGATTGAGCTAGCTTAGCCGATTAATTTTTGTTCTGAGACTCCTGTGTTTCTTACAATGGATAGTAGATGGGGTCCCTAAGAATCATCTGGATGAACTGTGGTCTCAGTTTAATTCGTGAGCCGAGGGTTTTACAGAGTCTCTGTACCGTAAAGTACACTGTAAGTTTTATAGGCAAGCCAAAAAAGGAACCAGGGATAAATGCCGCATGCTCGTTAATGTGTTGATAAATTTGGTTTTATTAGTGTTCTATCATGGTGTGACTGCGGCAATCGTAACTTCTTAACACCACAATTACTGATAAAATAGGCGATTTATTGACGGTGAACGATGTGGGTTGAAACTTAAAATAATAAATAAATACACAATTATCGCAATTGATGAAGTAAAGGTGATCAGAAAGAAATACACTGAGCCAACTTGAAACGACAAAACTTAGATTGTTACGATTACTGCAAAACTGCACTTGACGAAAAAACACTGTCCGAAGACGAAATGAAGAATAAACTACCGAAAAGAAAAGGGCCCTGAACAGAGAAAGCTAAGTTTCGATAGCACGAAAAACTAATAATTAATGCATGCGAAAACGATCTGACACATGGCACATAATATCAACAAGTGGCTCCACAGTTCTTGGTGAAAGCACGGTCAGAGGTTCTTTTATGTACAAGTTTACTACATTGAAACACTGAAATGCAATCTTTAGTCAAGTTAGGGGGAAACCAGACTTTCAATTAAACGTTACAAGGCAGCTAAGGATTTTTTTTAAAGGGTTTAGTCGTTGCCAAAGTAATCGACTTGACCTTGATTATCTAACTCACTGAAAAAACAGGGGAAAAGAGGTATGCTCTAGAATATTTTTCTTGAAATTTACATCTGACTCGTTAATTAAAACTGCGAAAAGATACGTATAAATTGCATCTTTGGCAATTACTGTTTTATGTTTCGGTGTAAACGTCGGTTTTAGTTGTTATTCTAAAATGTGCTACTCCCTCAAGAAGACCGTGACACGCAGGATTTTTTCTCCATCTTTAGAGTAACATTGTCAGGATATAATTACATTATGTGCACGTTGTTAGTATGAACGTGTAGTGGTACATGATGCGCAAGTTAACTATATCTGTTTTTCAAGCCGTGAGACGAAAAGTAATGAGAAACCAGGAAGAGTACTATTTCGTTTCGTTTTGTGATAGCTTCCATGATTGGCAATAAAATTTCTTAATGTTGTTTGTTACGGCTTGGTTATTTATTAGATTTTTCAATATGATAGACAAGATCTATATATAACCTCAGTGCCTCTTCTGCGTCATCTGGCATCCTCAGATCCTCTACATCCATGATGAGGTGAGCCAACTCCACGAACTCTCTAGGGGCCGGCTGTTCATTGAGTTGATCACAGCTGACCTCTTTAGCTAGATCGATTTCATTGCTTGGCACTGGAGTAGAGTAATCTTTGACTTCTTCGAGTTCAGGAAGAAAATATAGAACGTCGGGGCGACCTGCTGGAGAGTCGGAATTTCTACATGATCTAATCCTATGAAGAGTTCATTCTTCTGCCACATGTTTAAGCTCGTCTTGGATTAAGTGTATGAAACAGAATTTCGGGCATTCCACATGTATTGGATTACTGTCGCAATATATGCCCGCGTCCCGAACATCCTTGAAGAGTTTGATCTACCATTCAGACTCAGTTTTACGTAGAAAAGACCACCAAGCTCCAATCCTTTGATTGGAAACTGAACGTCCATACATAAATTAAAGCTCTCATCGCCCGCCCGAAGGAATCAATGCCATTTCTTCTGAAAAAGCATTGAATTTCACCAACATTGCAGTTCTCCGTACCTTCATCGGCGCGGACAATCCTCGGAGCACCTCTCACTTGTTTTATGCAGTCACAATAGTACTCCGCTATGACGCTGGGATCATTGTTAGTGATACTGGCTTCAAGCCACAAAATGCGGCGACTGTGCATGTATCCATCTATTGCACCATGAATACAAAAACCGAAGCGTTTTAGCTCATCATATCCACCTATATGCCAAATGTAATTTGGTCCTTTGGCATAGTACTTCCTACCTCTTAAACGCCTTCTGGGTCTTCTTTCAAAACCTTCTGGATCCAGGGTTTTAAGAATAAGGCGCACAGTTTCCTTGTCAACAGCAAGGTCATAATCATTTCTGAGTTTGTGGTGCATTAATCTATAGCCAATGGAACTCCCACTTCTACAAAGTTCCCAATTACAATTCCAGTTTCAATCTCATGTGGGTTGCTATAATTTCGTCTTCGAAATAGACCTTGATTTCTCAGTATTCATTTCAACTGACGAAAGCTTAAACGTATTCCATGGCTCAAAGTCAAAAATTAACAAAATTTCTACATGATCGAATTTAAGGTGAAAGTAGGTTGAAATGAGCCCATCTCTGAACAATATTCTGTTAAACCACTGGAATATACGAGTGTAAAACTGCTTCGCACGAAGACAAGCAAAAAGATATTGCTAACATGGCCCTATTGGGCTTAATGAGCCGGTAGTTGCTTTGGAAAGTAGCACAATCGCTGCTTCAAAGAGGCGAATCACCAGTTCAAAGCGGTGATCATTCTTCACTCATCATTATTGTTGAAATATTAAGTAAATATAAGTGTTAATGGTCTTTTTGGAAAAATTGATTCTCACGGTAGTTAGCAGCTGAGTTTATACTCGTAATATTAATTTCCTTTCATACGATAATTTCCACACCAACCTTACATAGATAAGCAGAAATTTTTAATTACTTTTCCGCTTTTATTTCCTAAGCTTCTCTACTTTAATTAAGATAGGTATATTTTCTATACCAGAGCTGTGAATTCTCACCAAGTTTCCTATTTTTGATGGCCTCGAATTTGTTGTATCCGTCCTTTAAATTTTGAAATTCTTTTCATCGTAGAAACAGATGGAATATTTGGGTAGCTTTCGTCTAACTTCAAAGAAACATTTTCCGCCTCTTTTGTTATACTATTCAAATATGGTAGATTTAGAGAACAATGGAACCTCACACCAGTTTATATTTAAGCACGTACTTTGCAAAGCTTTTTCGATCACCTACACGACGGCGTACCGATTATAAACACGACAGCGTGCCGATTACATAGACGACCGCGTGATGATAACAAGTTTAGTTTTGACTCTGGCATGACGTGTGTTAGAGTGCTCTACGAATAAAGTCTACTGTGGAACCAAAGTGCTGTCTCATCCTCGACGTCCATACAAGCTCGCTCGAAGTAGATCTCCGTGTGCCAGAAAATCGTGACGAGTTTCCGTTCTTGTAAGCCGAGTGGTCTCTACCGAGTTATTTCCCCCCGTCTTGTACGTTTCAAATCAAATTTTAAGTCAAATTTAGTGCGCGAAAACCTTATCGTCACGACACACATGTTTTCAATTCATAAGAGACCCAAAAAATACAGTGACTCGCTCATTCTCGACTGATTTCTTAAGAAGAAGAATGACTCCAATTTGTTTGTTTTTCTTACACATACTTTTGTCTCAGAACATGCATTAAATGAGTTAGAGATGACTAACTTTGTGTAGGTTACACATTTACACAAAGTTAGCGTTTCATTGTCACGCGTGCATTTTCTAATACACTAAGGTGCGCGTAGTGACGTGCAGTTTGACCGTTGCACACGTACAGTGCTTAGGATTTGCACGCGCGTCAAGCGTGTCTAATACTGCAAGTATTATCACTCTCACAGTTAAATAAAAACAGTAGGAAGCATCTTAAAAGCATGGAGAATAAGAGCCAATACTGCCAACATGAAAATTTCAGGAGATATAAACAATTTTTAAGAAATGTAACATCATACTTTTGAGCATTTTAATAGCCACTGTAGTTGTCCCAGGTCTCCCTCGAAGTTGCTCAGCTGTTCCCTTAGCAACTTGACCAAAAGCACCTTTACCAATGATTTTTTCTACAGACACGTGATCCCTTAGCACCTCCCAAGAGCGTGTTGATGGATGGAGAGGCGCGTAATCAACCATTTGATGAGCGCTTTGTTCCTTAGTATTGCGTTCGGCACTTATTTCTTTGAGATCCATGTATTCGGCGCGAGACTGGATAAAATGTCTTGCATCTGAGCGGCCGCCCTCCTGATCTCTCATCGGCATTTCGTTCTAAGATGAAGACAAAGAACGGAACAGTTTTCTTTGATTCCTTACACATAAACTTCAAAATTTCCTACCTTTTTAGTCTAAACTTCCCTTAAATTTTAACGCTAAGGGTCTTTTTTTCTAATGTTAAATCACCTTGTTTCGCATAAAAGAGTCAGTAAAAATGGGAAAAATGGAGTTTTTCATATAATCAGAACTTTTCTTACATAATATGCTTCTCTGCTGTCTTCATTTCGTCTAAAATAAAACAAAACGTGAGGGTAAAGTGTTTTTAGTGTTTATAACTGTTTTGTACTTGTGCTGTCACAAGTGCAAATTTGCATTCGGTCCTTTATATGTTATTGATATAATCTTTTTCATCTTAAAACTACATTATGATGATAATAATGATTACAGTAATAATATGAAAGCATTCATTTATACATGATAAAATTGCAACGTGGCTGACGTGGTCGTGTCTAAGTCAAGTCTAAGAAGATAAAGAAAATTACGGTCTTAACTCAAACTATAAATACATGATTACAACAACAAATTTAAGATTCTACCAACATTAAATAATAAGAAATTAAAATGTGCAAAACTCAGAGGTAATTTTGTTCATTGTCCAACCAGCTGTTCGTACTGATACTGAAACTTATTTGTTGTGTCATTCATTTTTTATATGAGTCATAAAGCACCAGCAAGAACCTAAAAGGAAATCCGAAGATCTGCTTTCAGCATTTCAGTTATCATTGTGAGCTATAACAAATGCTTTGCTCTAAAGAAAGCAACCCTCGTCACAATGGCAATAAGGCTCACCTTCGCTTTCCCGCAGTGTCTATCGAAAGAAAAAATAAAAGATGAGGGTAAAGTTACGAAACAAAAAGTGCATGGGAGAATTAGATGGCAACTCGAGGGAAACCAAGAATCATTCACCTTTTTTGTGAATCCAAACCACATGGATAACGAGAATGAGATTGAATAGAAGAAGAACTCCGATGATGGATCCAAGTAAAACGTGTTTGCAAGAACATTCACAAATGTTCATCTCTGTCAAATAAAAATTTGTAGACCGATTCATTTACACTTACTCACAAAGACAGACTCGGATTTTTTCATATTCTACAAAATATGGTAACAGTCAAACATAAACCTAAGATTGCTGAAGATGATGTTAAACAAGCGTGGAACTTTTCCACTTTTAAATAAACCTGAGCCTGTTCGTAACCGGTCTTCTGTTCGTGGAAG